CTGCCGCCTCTACTGAAGAACGCAAGAAGAAACAGAGCAAAACCAAGAAACGCAACCAATCTGCCAACAAAACTGAGGTAATGGAGTGCCCAACAGCTGTGGACCTCCTGTGTCCACCATTCCTAGTCACAGAACACTCTCTAGAGTCTTCCTGAGGAGTCTGAGAGTGGTGTAATGGTGAAGATGTGATATGTTTCCTCTCAGCTGGGAGTGCTGGAGCTCTATCCTGCTCTCTCTAGCCTGAGGCAGATATTTTCTTAATCCCTGATGGGAGGGAAGGAGGCTGCCCAGGTCAGATACCATTCCAGGTTTCCTCCTGTGGCCTTTGCAACCCTTTCATACTCTTCATCCTTTCATACTCTTCAATATTCCCAGTGCATATTGATATTTCTTATTCCTTTGTCTTTGCAGGACTTTGTGTTGGGCCCTAGCCGAGGGGTTTCCTACGGAGTGGGTATGCCTACAGATCTCTTGCATCACCAGTCAGGAAGCACGATGTCAAGGCTGGCATATGGGCCCTCACCGGTGGGTCTCTATGCCCAGAATCAGCCTCTTCCAGCAGGTAGGTGCAAAGGAGAGCTGAGCATAATGCATCTCTTTGGGAACCTCCTGTAAGAGCCTCTTCTGTGAGATGGCCCTATGCAGGCCTCTACACTTTGTCCTTTTGCCTGTCACTTCTAGATACAGAGATGAACAGTCATTGTGGAGCTATGAGGTGCACCAGTAGCCTGTGACTAGGCAACCTGCTTCTCTTGTAGGTGGCCCTCGCCTGGATACGTCCTACAGACCTGTGCGCATGCCACTGGGAAAACTGGTTCAGAGTCGTCCTCCATATAGTGGTGTGCTGCCTCCAGGGATGGGGAGCATGATGGGCATCGATCCCTCCTACAAGCCAGCAGTGTACAGGCAGCAGCCTCCAGTATCCCAGGGACAGATCCTGAGGCAGCAGCTTCAAGCAAAGTTGGTAAGTCAAAGCTGTGCTCTTGCTGACTGCACAGTATAGCAAACTCAAGCTGTTTGCTGCTGTCCCTTCTAGCCAGAACTGCCCAACCCTGTCTCTGTGTCTTCTGTGGAAAGATGTTGTCTCATGTCTGTTCCTCTGGTGCCACCTGCTCTGTGGGCCCATGTTGCCAGCAGCTGGGGGGAGGCTGTCCCTGAAGGGCTCTGGGGCATCTGTGGCTGCTGGGTGATGAGAGGGGCATGTCCTGGCTGCGGGGTGGCATGTTTTTTAGTGGCCTGTTTGTCCCAGGTCAGGGTGAGGCAGAAGTCATGAGCATACGCCTGCTGTGCAGCAACCTTGTAGGCTAAGCAGTGAAGGTACTTGTCTGGTTTGGTGGGAGCTGCTGAGGAGAGAGCAGCAGTGTTCCTGCCCCTTGGAGATGTCGGGAAAAACGTTTCTCTGTTGCCTTCCAGCAGGGCCAGGGCATAATGAGCCAGCAACCTGTGCGCCAGATGGCTCCGACCCCGTCCTATGGAGCACTGCAGCCCTCCCAGGTAGGTGGCAGTTCACAGGTAGGGCTGGAATCTGGCTCCAGCACAGGGCAGCAGTGTTATTCTTGCTGCTAAATCCTGCAAACGTTTGGCTTTTCTCCCTCCTCGATGAGCTTCCTTGTGACAGTATTCACAGGAGGCTGATGTCCTGTGTTCCAGATTCTCTTTTCTACCTTACCCTCTGACTGAAAAAGGCTTTTTGTTTCATTTCAGGGTTACACTCCTTACGTCTCCCACATAGGCCTTCAGCAGCACCCCTCCCAGTCAGGCACGATGGTACCTCCTACCTATTCTAGCCAGCCCTATCAGAATTCCCACCCCAGCTCTAATCCTGCTCTAGTGGATCCTGTTAGACAGATGCAGCAGAGACCAAGTGGCTACGTGCACCAGCAGGCCCCTGGCTATGGGCACACCTTGAGCAACACACAGAGGTATCTCCTGCCCTACGGGGTCTTAATAAGCTGTATTTCATCAAGGGCTTCCCTGCTCTGCTCAGACAACCCTAACACCAGTCTGTGAAAACCCTGTTCTCCATGCTGTGTTATGCAGCATCCGTGTCATTTGCACCCTCAGAGGAATATCTTTATCCAGCTTTCAGTCCTGGGAAGAAACAGAGAGACAGAATGCAATTTGGAAATGTTAGTTGCAGGCAGGAAACAGTGTTACCATTCAGAGAAAAGTGGAATAGAGAAGTATGAGAAAAATTATCTGGTAAAATCATAGTTTTGGTTTCAAATCCAGCCAGCAGATCACCATCAAAGGGCTAGATCTGAGATTTCTATTGCTCCTGAGCACGCATAAATCCAGCAGGGAAACCATGCAGAACAGTGGGATGAGGACTGTTACTTAGGGCTTTTAGAAAAAGAGGTTGGATTAAACCCTTGGGAGGCCCTGGTGCCCCTCACCTTTCTGCAGAGAGGTGGCATGGATTGCAGGGGGCTGTTTGGGCTGTCTTATTGATGGCAGAAGTTGTGTTTGGATTAAAGAAGCTGGCTGCCTTTTAATGTTTTCCTCCATGAGCTTGTCCTCTTCTCTTGCAGGTTTCCTCACCAGTCAATACAGCAGACCCCCATGATGAGTGGGATGAACCATTTGGGGCCACAGGGAGTCCCCTCAGGAATTCGACCCAACCAGATACTTCCCGACCAGCAGCAGCAACAGTACCTGAGGCAGCAGCAGCAACAGCAGATGCTGAGGGTGAGTGGTTACTGACAGGAGGAAGGCTGCTGGAACTGGAGGAGGCTTGTCCAAGCTGCTTACCTCTGCCCCTCTATGTCAGGAAGGATATCGGCTCTGTTGGGGCTGCTGTAGTAATTTGCTACAGACAGCAGTTCTCCCTTCCTTAGAGCTGCCCACTCCTGATGGAGACACTGCACTGCCTTGTGCCAGTCACCCAGCATGAGCTAAAAGGAAGTTAGTAGCAGTAAAGGTCTGTTCAGGCCTCTGTGGCCTCTATCCCACCTTTCCAAGCTCCAGCTGAGCCAATAAACTGTGCAGAAAGTTAGCTGTTGTAGGAGTGTGGCAGGAGCCAGAAACAAAGGGAAAATCCTCCCTGCCCACCCAAGAGCAGATAAAGTAGTTCAAGATCATTTTTAGGGGCATATCTGCATTTCTCAAGATCAAAATAAGTGTTGTTTGCCGTTTCCAATGGCAGAAAATCTGGTATGGATTAGTCCATATACTCCATTTCTAACAGTGTTTGGTGAAAAACTGATCCAAAGTCACCTGTTAGACCCAACTCCCTAGGTTCAAAGAAGTTCACAGGCACGTGTCAACAAATATGAGTATTCCATGGATTTGTATTATGGTCTTATGAATATCAAATACTTATATGTAATACAGATACATCTCTTGGAGTTATAGAAATGTACCGAATTGACAGAGAAACAGAAATAGTTTAATTGGTGAATCTGATACCTTATGACAAGGCCTAGCAAACCTGTGGAATATGGAGAGACTTCACATGGCACAGAGTGCTGAGTCTTTGTGTTCAGAGAGTGGCCTGAGTGAGACAGTGGTTGCTGCAGAGAGCTGCAGTCAGCAGTATTTGAGAATTGCTGCCTTGCACTGGACAAGAGAACTGCCTCTAGCATGGTCAGCAGCTTTTAGCCCTTTTGATGAGTAGCACCCCCTGACTATTCACTTGGTTTCTTTTAGCATTCTCCATCACTCATATTTAGAAGAACATGCCTCAGACAAATTGCTAACACTTCTCCTAGCTCAGTAACTTCATGTATACCTTCAGCTTTTAGCTGACTTTGCTTGGTTGCTTAAAAAAACCACAAAGGTGGAGTGCCCAAGATCTCCCCTGTTACTGTGTTACCAGAGCCATGCCAGATGTAGAACAGACTCCTGGTGCTAGAACTGACTTTCATGGTTCAGTGAGTTGTAGGAAAGGATGGGTTGCTTTTTGGTGTGTCTTGCATGGGTTGGTAGGCAGGTGTTGCAAGCAGGTGGGACATGAAATTGGGAGGGGTGTCCTGGCTCATTTAGTCAGTCATCTGCTGTCTTGTGTACCCAAGTCATAGCATCAGTTCCAAGAACCAAAGTGACCAAACTGGTTTAAGGTGGAGGTTGGAAGGCTGCTGTAGAAACTCACTCCCTTTGTCTTGACTCCTTGATCTCAAGCCTCAATGTGTTTGTGACTGGTTCTTGTATGAATTTTATTGTCCACTGTGTCCTGCTGTTTACTAGCTGTTCTTTCTTTCTCTGTGGTGTTTACCCACTGTATTCCTGGGGAGGACTTGCAGGTTCCATAGGTCAGGTTTTTCTAGCCTTCTTTCATAAGATACTGTCCGTTCTCCTGATTGTATTTGTGTCTGTTTTCAGAGTCTGTTCAAGGTTTGAACCTTGCCCCTTTGAGCCAGTGATGGGAACTGTACATGCCATCACCACATTGGGTTGTTATGATAATATTAGTAGTGTTCTGTTTCTGCTAGAAATTCTTCTTTTGATCTAGAGGGTTAAAACCTACATTGGCAGATGGGAGAATTGTCTGAAAATTGGGAGAAATAAAAAAACCCCATGAGATTTCTGGGTATATTCTGACTCCAACACACTGAACATTCTTCTCACCATAACTAGGTCTGTTAAGATCTGGGTTTGAGCACTGCATCCAGTTTTATCTGCATCCTTTTATTGAAGTGGAACACCAGCTGGCATGACTGGCAGGAAAGGGCAGCACGATGGATCAAAGAGTTGGGGGGATATGACTGAGAAGGAAGGTCTGAAATAGCTGGGCATCACATTAGAGAGGCAAAGACAAGAGGAGAGATAACTCCAAATTTTTTATCTTGAAAAAAAAGGAAGCCAAACCCCCCTTTATCTCTTCTTATCCCTTGACTGTAGGAAAAGAAATGGCCTTAAAACATAACATATGAGATTCAGGGTAGAGATTAGGGTAAACTCCAATAGTAGGAGTAACTGTGACCTGGAGTGGATTGTGTAGGGAGGGTACAGGAGCTTTGTTGCTACCTCTGGAAAGAATTTGAGAGCAACTCAGGCAAATACTCAGTGAAGTCAGTATTGATCTTAACTAGGAGGCAAGAGATGAACCAGCCAACCTCTTGAGTTCTTAGTTGCTTTCTATTCTTGTACCTCGTTTGCTCCTGGTAATGACCAGGTTATGACAGGGAGTCCTCTTCCTGCCATCTGTCAGCACTCATCTTGCAGAATACTTTGTTGCTGTCCCTATATTTCTTGCTATTTCTCAGCCTAGGGCAGAGTCCTGGTGAAACTTGGGTAATTTAGGAACCTGTAAGGAAAACGGTTTAAGAGTGTATGTTACTGCATGGAACACCCTTCCTCCTTAAGCCCTTCCTGTGCCCTGTTGCTGCGTATGTTCCCTGATGGTCCCTTCTCTTTTGTCTTCACAGCAGCAGCAGCAACAGCAGCAACAACAACAACAGCAGCAGCAACAGCAGCAGCAGCAGCCCCAGCCACCACAGCCCCAGCCCCAGCAGCAGCCCCAGGTGTCCACAGTGCCTCAGCCACAGGCGCAGGGCCAGCCCCCGGGGCTGGGGATGCAGGCTCTTCCCCCCCAGCAGCCCATTGTGAGTGTTCCCTCAGAGCCAGAGGGATGTGATAATCCAGCACAAACCCAACTGTTTCACCTGCTTTCTCCTTCCCTGAGCTTCCCAGGGCTTGTGTGAATGCTGAGGCTGCCAGACAGGTGGTGTGGCTCTGACTGTGTTTCTCTCTTTGCAGTTCCAGCGCCAGGGCCTTCAGCAGACACAGCAGCAGCAGCAAACAGCTGCTCTGGTTCGACAGCTTCAGCAGCAGCTTTCCAGTAAGCCTGAGTGTTCTTGATCCTGTTGCTAGTGTCCTCCCTGCTGTTTTCTATTGCAGGTACTCTGATGTAGCAAGGCTGAGCCAGACCGTCTGTCTGAGGCCATAAGTGATGCTGGCAGGGAGGTGACATCAAGAATTAGAGCTACCAGCCCAAGGGGCACAGCAGCAGGGTGGGCAGTGCTTGCCAGCTTGTGAGCAACCTTCCAGACCTTCCTCCTGCTGCCTGCAGAGGGATGAGGGAGCTGAGCCTTTGTAGGGACTGCCACATAGCTTTCCTGAAGGGATCCGGTGTGCAGCTTTAAATTGTTTGGGGGTGTTTTCTCTGCTGCAGGTGACCTCTGAGGGGCACAGGAAGGGTGTAATCCTGGAGCACTCACTTGGTGGATGACCCAGGGATACTGTGGTTGTGTTGTGAGCAGGACAAGACTTCTTGGAGGCAGGAAGGGTACTCTGGGAAGTGTAGTTGCACACTTGCTGTGTTCGTGGTGGTCTGTGGGCTTTCATGGCTGCTGTCATGACAGGGTAATGACATAGATGGTGTTCAATCTGTCACTGTATTCCTATAATCTATATTGAATTACTGGCTGGAGGATCAAGAAACAGAATCCAATGTCTCTGCTGTTCCATTTTGAATGGCCTGCTGTCACTGTCTTCTGTCACCTCACGGGCTTTTCTGCCATAAAAATGGCGGAAATGCCCAGAAATGGACCACACAGTTGGGTTTTTTTTGCAGTGAGTGTGAGACTGTGCCGGATGTGGTGATGTGTGGAGTGGGAGACTTGGAAATTGTGCTTATACTTGTTCCCTGATGGAAAATCCTTAGTCCTTGTGACCAAAAAAAACTCCCCAAACCAGAAGTATTAATGAGTTTTAATATGCTAAGTTTCCCACTAGCCTGATTCACAAACCACAGGTCTGTGCCAAAAGATCCCAGCAGGACACTCAAGTGTAGGAAGGCCTCATAGAAGAATCTGAATATAGCAGAATAGCCATATTTTTGTATCCTGTCTCTTCAGCAAACGGAGCTGTTGTAAATGGAGCAGATGTGTGGGTCCAGTGCAGCCATGTGTCAGCAGGCAGCTTTCCATGCTGCTTTCTTGGGTTTGCATCAACTCCCCCTGGAAGCATCTGGAGTTCTTATTTGTAGTATCTGGGGTGGAGTGGAAAACAGGAGGTGTAAACCAAGAGCAGCCTTTAGGAGGGGACAAGAGTACTTTGGGCCCAGGATAGGCTGCATTAGGAGGCTCCAGGGAATACCTGAACATCCAGCAGAGTTGGGAAGGTGGCAGGCCAGCCAGGTTACACTCATCTCCTTTTACTTAGTCTGATTTAATGTCAAACATGTTGATGTGGTTTTGGGAAAAAAACCCAAACTGGTGCTCAGGTATACTGTGAGCTCTATAAATCACAGAACATCAGTCCCAGCAGTTCGGAAGTTCATGAAGTTCTTGAATGTAACTTTACTTTTTTTCCTGCCTTTTTTTGTGCCATCTGGAAGTCCTTTGGGGCTGTACTTCATTTGTACTGAGATACTGACAGGGAGCCAGGATAATTGTCTCTGAAGCCTAACTCTGGTTCCTGTGTGCCTTAGGATGAGTGACACTAGCTGGCTGAGCAGCTTTGTATGGCTGCAGGAGTTGTGCAGTCTTATAGGGCTGATTTTCTTTTAAAACCAGAAATAATTAATCCATAAACTCATCCTCCCAGCTAGCTGCCTCCTTTCAGGGCTGTGTTACGGTCCTCCAATTCTACCATGAGAGACACAGAGATCTCTGGAGAAGCATCAGGATCAGGACTGGCACATATCTGTGTCTTCCTCAGAGAATGTGGGATCCTGGCTGTGCTGCTGCCCAAAGGCTCAGACAGATGTGCAGAGCAGAGTTATATTTTTTCTTCTCATGGGCTGTGACACACTCCTCATTCAGCTTTGGTAGGGAGGGGGATTTCTTGTGTGAACTAAACTTGTGACTTGTCTAACTCTGTCTTGACCTCAACAGATACACAGACACAGCAGAACAACAACCCATTTGGACGCTACTGATCTGTGGCACCTTCAGCCTGATCCAGGAGGGAGACATCACTGTGGATGGATGTATACAGCCTCTTCAGCCTGACCCACAACCCCTGGGGCAGTCCCAACCTCTGTCCTTGGGCCTGTGCCTCCAGTGCTGCTGCTGTCTGTTCTCACAGGGAGATGCTAGGAGGAGGGTTTTATTGTACAGAGAAAGTGTTTTTACTATCCAATTTCTACAAATGTTTATGGAGATCCCTTGTGGCTGATAGTCTCCCTTCCCACTTTGGTTTCAGTTTTTACTCAGTTTTTAGTATTTTTGTTAAAATAATGATTAAGACATTGTAAAATTTTGTACTTTATTTATACCAGATGAACTCCATACTGCAGACATTCTCGGATGAATACAGAGAGCTTACTTTGCAAACTGAGTGTGTATTCAGAGCCTGCCTTTCCTCCTCAGCACTCCTCCCAGTACAGCCAAGCAGCACCTCCACACATGGTCTTTATCTCTTTCTCAATAGGACTTATGTCTGCATTTTCAGCGTTTGTGAAGGCTAAACAATTTGGTTTGGGAAGGAAAGCCCTTCTTCCCTGTTTGTTTCATAAGCTACTGTTCGCATACGTGCAAGGGTTTGTGCAAGCTTTGTAGGATTTATATGTTGATTAAGAGCTTTACTGGCAGTCTGTGGCATGTTCCACCAGGACAGAGGTATAAAGTAAAGAGGAAGTTCTGTTGCAGGGTAATTCTGAGCTCTAAGAAGCCCAGCTTTCCCACCACAGCAGTTACTGAGATCTCAGCTCATTACCTCTGCAGTCCAGGAGGAGCTGCAGACCAAGTGCACTCACAGTACTGCTTCTTGTTCCCCATCACAGCAAGGTTTGGCTGATGAGCACCAAGGCTCCTCTGTTAACTCCTTCTTGACAGCCCCACTGCTTTCTCTGCATGGGAACATGCCGCATTCTCAACTTCTGACCTGGCTAGTGCAGCCTGCTGGCATGGGGTCTGCTCCTAGTGCTCTGTGCTCTTTATTGAACCTGGAAGCCACCACCACCTTTCTTCCATCTTTGGTTCTTCCTCATCAGTTTGTTCTGTGGTCCCTGTGGTAGCTTTTCTTGACCAGCACTGCCTTCTGTCCCATCTGTGTAGGATACAGTGAGGCTCACAAGGACTCAGCAAAGAGCTGCACTGAATCTTCATCTGAGGGCACACAGTTCTGTAGGGTAGGCCACAGCATGAAGGCAAGCTGAGCCCTTTCCTCCCTGGGAGCAGGTGTGGGGCAGTTCTCTGGGGCAGCTGTGTGGCCTGGCACCACCGCCCGCTGTGCCCTGCTCCTGTCCAAACTGTGTTGCCCCTGCACGTCTGCCAGGCTCCTGCCATGTGGCCGCAGGTGCCCTGGAAAGTGTTGCTGGCCAGGCCTGGTGGAGAGGACTCACTCATTCCTGAGGACAGATGTGTGTGCGTCCCTGCTTGTCCCTTTCCATGAAGATCAGGCTGGGGCCCAGCCCGGAGCTGGCTGCTGGGTCCTCATCTGCTCCAGGGGCTCTGCCTGCCTGCAGCCCGTGCTCACTGACTCCAGAGGTGGCAGCCCTGCTCTGGGCCCTGGCAGTGTCAGCTGGACCCTGTTCCGAGGGACCCACGGCTGCGGATGGAGCAGGGCTGTGTTCCCCCATCCTGCCGAGGGTGGGGACAGGGAGCGCCCCGGCGCCAGCGGAGCCATAGCCTGGGGACACTGGGCACTGCCCCTGCCTAGAACATGCCCCTTTTCGTGGTGTGTGCGGTCATGGCCGACAGCCCCCTCCTCTGCCGGCCCCGGGAGGCAGCTGAGCCTGCGCCAAGCGGCATCTTGGATGCTCCTTCTGCATCGCTGCCGCGCCGGAGGTGGGAGGGGGGCGGCTCTGCAGCAGCCGGAGCGGGGTGGCAAAGGCAGCACAGCCGCGGGGATCCGGGCAGGGGTGCAGTGGGTGCCGCTTGCACGGCAGCTGGGGCAGGACTGGGGTGCTGCAGCAGGAGAACACGGGTGCTGATCTCCAGCTGGGTGCTCCTCAGGGTCGCGGGGATCAGGTGAAGGCATCCCAGGAATCACCCTACCTCCCTGGGAAAAGGGGATGTACATGTCCCTCCCTGCCGGCCAGGTGCCTGCTGCCGCGGGATTCTCTATTGCACGGCCCAGCGACAGCGCTGGCCCTGCTCCTCCTCTGGCAAAAGGCTTCCCCCAGCTGTGTCTGCTGCTTGACAGTCCAGGTCTGTGTGGTATGAGCAGGACACCGGAGCTCTGTTGTGGTGACAGACCCAGGGCTGCCACTGCCCCCAGGATCCTACGCGACCCTGGATGGCTGTCCAGAGGTTTCCAGTGGGTGCAGGAGACTGCAGGGGGACGTGGGGACCAGGGCAAGCCCTGGTCACAGCACAGGGCTGTCTGGGGAGCTGAGCTCTGCCTGGCCTGGCTGTGTGCCTTGCAGCTGCCGCTGCTGTGCTGCACATTAGCACTGAGCCGCGGCCGTTTTAAGCAGGTCTGACAGCTTCCAGCCCTTCTGCTCCTTCTCCGAGTCGTGGCTAAACGCTGCTTGTGACAGAGCCAGAGGCGACCGGGGGCATTTTAATACGCGTTGCCCATTGAGTAATGCACTCAGCTGCCCTTCTCTGGCCACCAGTCCAGGAAGGGGGTGGGGTGTGCGTGTGTGAGTGTGCGTTTGATGCTGGCCTTCCTGACGCTGGGGACCAGCCCCAGAAGCCGCCTGGGCAGAGCCCTCAGGTGCTGTGTGCAGGCGCTGCCACACGGGGTGTGCCCAGCATGCGGGGAGAAACCCGAGGTTACACGAATCTTGCCTCATTGGGATGATGGGTGGGCTGGAGCATGCTGTGCCCCACGCACCCACCCCACCCAGCAGCCTGGCACAGACGGTCCCCGTGGACCGCCCTGGGCAGAGGTGTCTTGTCAGGCACTGTCAGAGCTGATGTTGTGCAAGAAAATCGATCACTGCTCACTCAAGCAGCTGAAGCTGGCAGTGGAGCAGCTGAGTACCCAACCCTCCCACAGTGCTCGTGGTGGGGACTGGGCCACAAGGCACCACTGCAGACGTGCACCATCACCCTATTCTGGGCAGCAGGACCCAGGGAGCCATGCCTGGAGCCATGCCTGCTGAGGGGCAGCCCAGCACCAGTCCAGGGCCCCCTTCAAGATGCTTCTCTGAGCCGATGAACCTAGTGGGCACAGAGCAGGGCTGTGCATCCATCCCACATGGTGCTGGACCGTGTTGCCTGCCAAAAGGCTGGCAGCTTGCAGCTCACCCTGTGAATAACGGGCCAGCAACACAGTCAAGCTGCTGACCACCAGCAAGCAGTCCCTTGGAGAGGGAGCTGGGCAGGAGAGGCAGAAAAACTCTGACCAGCTCTGAAGCAGCAGCTGGAAGGCTCTGAGGAAGATAAAGGCCAACCTGCACTGAGGTGCAGAGATCTCTCTGCCATTTTATGTTCACTGGGTCAGTGCAGGTGCCAGTGGCGTGTGGGAGAGTTAAAACAACTGCCGACCCTTCACATGCTGCCACACAAGCTGGAAACAGCGTCTCCTGTCAAACAGGAAGCAGTGTCTCCTCTGTGGAGGCGTCCCAGCTGATGCTACCTTGGCAATGGCAGAGGGAGGCAGAAACCAGATACATCCATCAGGACCCAAATCCTTGCCCTGTTTCAAATGATTTCTGTAATCCCATCAGGCCAGACTGAAACAGAGAGGTGGCTTTGCTCTGGGCAGAGGCAGGCTCTGGGAGAGGTGGCTCCTGCTGAGAGGCTGTGAGTGGGAGGGGAAGATACCCTGCAGCCCAGTGCACGGCAGGGAATGGACAGGTGGCAGAGGCTGCACCGGGCCCCAAGGCTGAGGCTGGGTTGTGGCATCCCACACTAGGTACCTGCTGAATCCTCCCTGGACCCGCTGGGCACTGCAGAGCAGTAGGAGAAGCAGGGGCTCCTCCCCTGGCCGTGGGGAAATACACCGGGGCTGCAGGGCGCTCCAGCTGCTGTGGGTGTGTGGGGTGTGGAGGAGACCCATGCAGAGTGACTGGGACAGACACAGGCTGCAGTGGGGCAGGATTTGGGATGCCCGGGATGGTGCGGGATGTCCGGGGCCGTGCCGGGATGCCCCCACAGATAGGGCAGTTTTCTAGGGTGGTTCGGGGTGCCCCAGGGCGTGCAGGTGTCCCGGTCGGGACGGTGGGAATACCGATAGCCGGGCAGTGCCGGCGCTGTGCGCAGGGCAGGGTTCGGGGACAGCGGGGGTGCAGACGCGGCTGGTGCCGGTACCCGGAGGGCGCGGTACCGGACTGCGCGATGCTCGGCGGGTGCGGCATCCCCTCGGCGCAGCGAGCCGGGAGGTGCAGGTGCCGGGGCGTGGGGTACCGGGCCCGGCCAGAGCAGCGGCGGGGCCGTGGGATGCCCGGTGCCGGTGCCGGGCGGCGGTGCGGGCCAGCGCGGCGGCAGCGAAGGGGTGCTGCGGTGCGGCCCCTCCCCAGCCCGCCCCCGCCGTGCACGCGCCGCGCGCTCCCGGTGCGGGGTCGGGCCGGACTGAGCGGAGCGCGGGGCGCGGAGCAGCCGCCGCCGCCACCGGCATGGCCCAGCCGCGCCGCCGCCCCCGACGGTGAGTGCGCCCGCTCCGCCCCGCCCCGCACGGCCCCGCACGGCCCGGCCCGCCGCCGCCCGGGATGGGGAGCGCGGCCGGACGGGACCGGACCGGACCGGCCCCGCGACGCGGGGCTGGGGGCGGCCCCCGCGGAGGCGGCGGGGCTCCCGGGGCGGGGGGTGGTCCCGGTTGCGGTCGCGGTCCCGGCGTGGGGCGTCGCAGCGGGGCGCGGCGGGGGTTAACGGGTGGGGCCGAGCGCGGCGGCGGCGGGTAACGGCGAGGGTTAACGGGGCCGGATGAGCGGCCGCGGCGAGCCGGCGGGTTGCCATGGCGACGTGCTGAAAGGGGGATTGTGCGCCCGCCTCAGCTGCGCGGCCCGCATCCCGGCTCCCGCCCCGCATCCCGGCTCCCGCCCTGCATCCCGACTCCCGCTCCGCATCCCGGCCCCTGCCCCGCATCCGCCGGGCCGCTCTGTCCCGCTCGGCCCGACCCGTCAGACCCAGCACAGAGCAAGGAGCAGGCGCTGTCCCGGCTCGGGCGCTCTCACCCCAGGGATTGGGATCCTCCCCGGGGCTGCGGGGGTGTCTGTGGTGTGGTGTAGGTACTGACTGGGGGCTCGGTTATTTGGGGTGCAAGGATGCTCCTGGTGCTTCCAAGCATGAGGCTGCTGGTGTGAGCATCCCTGGGTCAAGGGCAGGCAGGAGATCCCCTTGGCTCAGTTTATTTGGCATAGCATGGGGAATGACATTAGCCACTGGGCTCTTGGAGTGAAAGAGCATTCCCTGTTTTTCCCTTGGGCCAGGGGCCTGAGGAGGCAGGCTCGCTGTCAAGCAGGGGCTCTGTGGTGCTGGCTGTGCTCATTCCTGAGCAGGATGGCGGGCCAGACACCCATCCATCCATCCATCCACCCACCCATCCATCCATCTGCCCCTGAGCAGGGTGGTGGGTGCAGGGCTTGCTGGTGGCTCCAGCATTGCACACTGTGGCTGGAGTTGGCACTGTTCACCTGAGCTTGGCTCCATTGTGCTCCAAGGCATGGAGCGGGATGTGGTGTGTGATGGTCAGTGCTGGGGTCTGCATCTGGTGCTGTCAGCAGCAAGGGAGAGAAATGATGGGGGACCTGAGGCCTTTGCCCAGCCAGTCAGTTTCTGAACCACACACTCCCAAGTGGTGACACCTCCTTATGTCTCTCCTGACAGCCCTTCCCAAGGCCACAGACCTCCCTTAGGGAGGTGGCTCTGGCACGAAGTCCCTGGAAAGCTGGGATTTTCCTTCTATCCTTTGAGGATGCCTCATCTGCTGCTGCTGCTGGCTTGGCCCCAGGTGATGGCAGAGGGGCTGGAGATGCCTCCCTGGCTGGGCATGTGTGGGTGCAGTGGGACAGCTAACGAGCCCCCGTGCTGGCCATGCTTTGTGCCAGCCTGGTGAGACCTTCCTTCTACTGCAACCCAGGGTGCTCTGTAGAATTGGGAGCATCTGCCAGCTGGATAAGGGGTGGATGTGTCCTCAGAGAGGGAGCTGCTGGTTGCCAAGGCAGGAGTCACTCTTGGCTCTGGGAAGTGCCTGTGCCATGGGTTCACCCGAGCACCCATGCCAACAGCTGACACAGGGCTGGGCACCCAGAGGTCCCCAGTGGAACCAGACCTCTCCCTGCTCTGCAGGCTGCAGGTGGCCGCCACCAGAGCTAGTGTCTGCAAAATGGTTAAAGGCTGACATTTAGAGGTCACACTTTTAGCACTGTGCATGTGTTTGCTTCATTTGCATTTGCAGTTAGCCCGGCTCGAGGCTTTGCCACTCGCATGTGCAGTTGCCATGGTTACATGTGCAGTCAGGATGTGGAGTTTGGTTGGACACCTGCAAACATGCAGCTCTCAACCTCCAGAGCACGAGCAAAAGCCGCCAAGGTGCAGGGCAGCCCTTGGACGTGGGCTGTGCTGAGGAAATGGGAGCTGCAGAGCCCATCTTGGCAGGGTGTGCGTGCTGCTGGCTTGCACAGCCTCCAACTGCCCATATTCAACAGCAATGAGCATCTAGGGCAGCCTTGTCAGAGGGGAGGTTGAGCACATGCCAAGGGTGTTGCCCTGCGCTTTTCATCTGGGGTTGTCTCACCTCCCAGACCTCATGTGGAGGATTTTGTCCCAAAGGGCTGGAGTGGAGGTGCTCAAGAGCGGGGTGGTGAGGGCAGCCAGAGCCTGGAGTCACGAGTGGAGCTGCTGTGCAGGCTACCCAGGGCAGGGGCCTGCCAAAGCTTCAGAAGGCAGCATGAGAATTGGCAGAGAGCTGTGCTGAGGCTCCAGATGTGGTGGCTCTGTCTGTCCTGGCTCTCTGTGGGATCTGCTTTGGGTGCTCAGGTCCAACTCAGACAGGGAGTCGTTCCAGGTGTCTTTTGACCTGGATCACATTGAGTCCACGAGCAAGTGCAAGGAGATAGTGGCTGCCAAAATCCTGTGGCAGGTCCATGTTGGCATTGTCTTTGTGTCAAGGGAGGAGGTGTTTTAGGACAGCTGGTAAGGAAGGGACCTCGAGGTTATCAAGTCTCTAAGCTCCATCTACACCATTCACAAGCAGCATCAGCTCAGCCAGCTCCTAAACCTCCCCAACCACAGCGAGTCTCCTGCCTCCCGAGCAGTTTGCTGCCATCTTCTTGTATCCTCCTTTCTAGGAGCTATTTATTTGCAGCAGTCAGGGGAGAAAGGAAGCTCTCTTGGCTGCCCAGGAGCAGCTGTGGCCTCAGACAGACCAGTGTGGAGTGGCTATGCTGTGCTGTTGGCAGCTGGAGGAATCCAGTAACAGTAGGAGGGTGTAAGGATGGTGGGAAATGATGGGGATGTGCACATGGAGCATGTGCCTGGGCAACAAGTTGTGGTGGAGCTGCAGAGGAACCTGTGAAATCTCACAGCAGAGCACAGAGGGGATGTGCATCTGCCATCCTGGGGCTGTGCACCGAGTGCAGAGGGACAGGGCAGGGACAGTTTGGCTCTGTGTCCTTAGAACTTCCAGTGCCACAGGGATGCAACAATTATCAGCTCCCTGTGGGATCCCAGGCAGAGATTCCTCTGCTGGTGGTCTGTGGTTATTGGCTGCCACTGACAGCGTTTTGAAAGACAGCCAAGGTCCCTGTGTGGCTCTGGGGTCGGCACAGAGGGGAGATGGTCACAGCCAGCTGGCAGGGGCACAACAGCACAAAGAGACAGGTTGGATCCTGGGCGCTCAGGGAGAGCTGGGTCTGAGGACTGGCAGAGCTGAGTGGTGCTGCGTGGTGGACTAAGTGCTCTGGTGGTCTCCTAACGTGATGCTCCCCAGAGCTGGGGGCAGGGAGCAGGCTGTGACCAGCACTGTGTGCACTGCTGGCCTCAGCAGGATTCCACTGCGGGTGTGAGGGGAATGAATAAATGGTCCTGCAATTGCCAGAGCTGCCAGTTTGAACCCACATCATTCAGACCCTGGAGCAAGTCTGACTGAGAGGAAATGGGTATGAAGAAGGAGCAGTGGAAAGATATGGGTGCTTCTGGCTGCAGCTGCTGGGTCATGTCTGGTTTGTGTAGCTCCTGGAAGTTTTGCCTGGATAGGAGGTTATGTGCTGTTTGTTTGGAGGCTTGTCTGAGTGGTATTACAGTCCATGATGGAACCTATGTTCCTGCTTAGACTTGCAGTTGTGTGGGGAAAGTCACATCCCTTTTGCCATGTTGTCTGCCTGGCAGGGGCTGTCTGTGAGCAAGACTTTGTGCTGGGGAGCGCTGTTTGAGCTGAGACCGCCTTGGCAAGGAGCTCGGGGGATGGTTGGTAAAGAAGCCTAGTTCCTGACACTGCAAAATGCAGAGCAGTGGAGTAACATCTGTTGTTTTCAAACTGCATCTCAGTGTGAGTGTATCCTGTAAGGTGCCTGGCAAGCAGAGCTGAAGCTTTGCCTGGTGGCCAGATGCTCCAGCCGTGCCAGCAGAGCAGGTGGCAAAGTTTGGGAAAGGTTGCAGAGAGAGCATGTTACAGGGCTCATACTGTGCACGAGCCTTGTTTGGGTCTGGGCCTGGGCTGCTGGGGCTCTCTGAGAGCAAGGATGGTTGGCAACGGTTTGGTCAGGAAGCTTTTGAGATGGGCTTGGGGAGGGGACTACTGAGAATGCTGTTTGATGGTGATCAGGGGCTGCGGGGACTTTGCTCATCAAGCAGTCATTAGGTGCTGCTCTAAAGGAGTGGGAGAAGAAGCCCAAGTCTGTAGTGTGACCAAAGTGCCTGCATGCCACTCACCATGGGAGTGGCCCTGTCCATGTCCTGGTTCTGGCACCCAGTGCTGAAGGAGTTGTGAAGGTGAGACTGTCTTCACGTGTTTTCTCTACCCTTACATGACTCCAGGTACCGCTGAGCAACTTGAGGACTCATGGAACAGTGATGGAGGAGAAGGGACAGGGGTTGCTCTGTGTCTCTGTCTCTAGAACTGCCCACGGGGGACCTCAGGAGAGATGTGTGAGTGTTGAGATCATTGTGGAGTCAAATGCCTGGAAGTTGCAGCAGGAATGGTCAGAGGTCTGAAGACCTCTCTGCAAAAAAATGGCTAAATAAGGCAGGGTTCTTCAGACTGGAAAAGAAACAATAGAAGATGGATAAGACATGTCTACAGGAGGCCAGGAGAGAAGTGATAGAGGTTAACTGTTCACTGTTTATTTCCGTACAAGTACAAGGTCACATCAAATTAAGCTAGCAGGAGGTGCCAAACAGGAGGAGGGGCATTGCCTCTTGCAGATGTGCTATCAAATCACAGAAGTCCTCGGGACAAGGTGTCACGAACAGCAAAATCTTACCTTGGTTTCAGGAGAAATGGGATGAATTCAAGAAAGACAAGATGCTCCCCCAGAACCAATAAATACACTGAAATCCACCTCTGACTTGGGCAGCTGCTGAGCTGCAAATTGCTTGTGCTTCTGACTTCTTGCAAGAAAGTACACAGAGCAAAGGTGGACCTTTGGTCTGGTCTGTTATTTTCATAATGTTGTGCCCACCAGAGAGGGTGGAGCCAG